GCATTCTAGCAATGAGAGATATTTTGTTGCTCTCCTTCAGAAAGTGCTTCTTGAATAGTATTCAGAACTCGCTCACTACTCTTCATGTCAGCCATTTCATTAGCACGCCATTCCTCAATAGATTAGGGGACTTTTTGATTGGTAATAGGATCATTCACAGACGATGTTTCAATATTCTCTTCAATTGTGCGCCAACCTTCAGGATCCCAAGCTCTGAGATACACCATCATTCTATACTTCCAAAACAGATAATTTCTCCCATCAAAGGTAAGAGCACGATGAAGATTAGCCCTATGAGCAAACTCAATTGGTCTGGGAGTTGGTTGAGGGAAGCTAGAATAGAATGCCATAAAAGTACTATCTCCATCTTCACCGGATTTAGCTTCATCAGCTTCTTGCTCTAATCCGCTTTCATCATCCTAGGTCACTGTGTAGACTTTCTTTCTGTTCTTCTTCGAAGGACACTCTAGAGCAATATGCCCAAACCCTTGGCATTCATAGCACTTGACTCCCTGTCCTCTTATTATCTTTTTCTCGGGTTTTGGAACAACTTTGAGTTTGTCATTACCCTTATCCTTAGAACTTTTGTCCTTGAAATTAGGCTTTTTTTTCTTTAAATTTTTTATGAATTGTTTGGTAAACAAAGCCGTCATTTCGGATTCTAGATCAATTTCCACCTCAGGATTCTTAACAATCTCATGAGAAATAGAAAAAGCCACATTTTCTTTTTGTTTTTTCTTTGAAATCATATATGCTTCATAAGTTGGCAAGTTTCCAACCAACTGATCAAACTTGAGATTCTAAACATCCGGAGCCTCTTCTATAGTTGTCATTTTTTATGGAAACCTATCGGGTAATGACCTCAGAATTTGTCTAGCAACATGAGATTTAGGGATTTTTTTCACCGACTGTGAAACAAGAATTCACGATGTCACTGAGTTTAGCATAAAAATCATCAAACGTTTCATTCTCGCACATAAAAAAAAGTTTCAAAAATGGAGGTGAGACGTTGAAGTTTTGGTATTTTGATAGAAATAGTACCTTCGTGAATTGTTTCAAGAATGTCCCAAACCTCTTTTGCTACCTCACAAGTGCAAATATGTCGCAACTCTTTCGGAGTGACGGCACAAAAAAGGGAATTACCAAAAATTTTGATAATCAATTGTGTCATATTTATCAATTGGCTTGGGAATATCAACACCATCAATAATTACCATAGGTTTACTCCACCCATAGATGACGGAATGCCAAACTTTCTCATAAATAGGTTTTAAAAATGCCCTCATATGAGCTTTTCAATATGAGTAGTTTGTTCCATGAAGTAAATGAGGTCTATGAGTTGAGTTACCTTCCCGAATCGAATCTATTAACACAAATCACCCAAGATCACACGCCTATAGCTTCTTTTTTTTTTATTAAAAAAAACCATCGAAAAACGAGTGACTCGCTCTGATACTAATTGAAAAATCTAAGTGATTTGTGATTCAAAATAGACTTAATTGCGGCAAATCCTAAACATACAAAAATTAATAATCTAAATCATCTAGCACATACGAAAGTCATTTAGATTGTTGTTTTACAATTGATAAATCGACACAAAAGATTTTAATGTGGAAAAAAATCACACTTGTATCACCTCCAATTGTGATAAAAAATCACGGGCTAAAAGGCACTAATCAATCCACTATAAAAAATAATGAAAATACACAAGAGTACAAATAATTACCCCAACACGCTCAAGAATTATCTTCCGCCTCTTGTGCCTCTTTCAACAACACCTTCATCTCGGAATTGATTAGCCCAATGTTGAATGCACAACACCCAAGTTAAATCCATGACGATGAGCAGCTTCTAACTCTTTCAAAGTCTCCTAGTTTAAATCTTTGGAATCCATAGATCAAACGCTCTAGAAAAGTAGAACCATAAAAAACCCCTTGATATAAGCATTTCAATTCATGTGACGCGACCAACTCACAAAATCATCAAGGGAAACAGTAGGTAAGCACTCCAGAAGAAAACACAGTCTCGAGTTTTAGATTTAGAACTCGTAACCCTAAAATCTGTAACTCGCACAACTTTAAACAAAATAGGGTCGCGAAGACTTGCTTGAGCACAGGAAAGTTCGCTCAAGCAGTGTGTCTAAGATGCGGATAAACCATAAGTGCCTTTGCTCAAGTGATAGAAAGTCCGCTCGAGCACATAATGGAACCTCCCAGTATTTTTGTAGAGCAAGTCTGAACTACTGAGAGATGTCAAGCCATCACTTTACCGCTCGAGCGGTCCAAGGGCAAACAGGGCACACACATTGTAACTGAAATGTATTTGTTCGCGGAATTGACAACTCAAGGGACCTAACAATAAGCTGTTTACTTTTTTGCTTATAAATGCATTTTTGTATATAAGTATAACTATTTCTAAACAATTATTTAAACAATTTTGTTTGTAAAATGATGATATATTGCTTGATCGCCGATCAAAAAATATTGTTTGATCTTTGAGCAAGTTCTAAATGATGATAAAGTTTGTGGTTTCAAACTAAATCGAACTACATTTTTGTGGTTCAGTTTGGTGTGGTTTTAAAGTTTTCGTAGTTCGATTTGATTTTAATTTTACGAAACTATATGTATTTGTTTGGTCTTGGTTTACTTTAAAACCGAACTAAGTCAACCATGTTCGCCCATCTACAACATTCATGTTTAAACTTGAGATGCTTTTTAAACGAGAAACAAAAAGGAAAGGGGTCTAAAGACCGCTGAATAAATGAAATGATAAGAGATTTTACTTTGAGCTATTTGAGCGTTATCCAACTTGACAAATGATTTTTTTTTTTACCTTTCAGGAAGGAAGAAGAAAAAAGGACTTAAATTATAATCTAATGGATTTGATAATTTTATAAATCCATTTGCCATTGTAATTCTATATATAAATAGAACTTTGAATTATTTTTTCTAAAGTCCTACGAGGAGAAAACTTAAGACATGACACTTAAATTTAGTCACAATGATATGAATTATTATATGTCATTTATTGATTAACACAAGAAACACGTCGTTGAACTCAAGGAAAAAAAAGGAGCTGAAGGAGTCTCATCATTCATAAATAATTAATTTTTGTCTTATTTTGTTAGTATTTTTACAGAGTTTGAAATTTTTAAGAAAAACATGCAATTATTACAGTTGAATTCAAATTTCAAAACATTAACAATACCCTCTTATTCTCTTTTCAAAATATATTCATATTCACCTTTAAGGGATAATTTAAAAAAAAAAAAATACTTTTTTACTTTTAACTTTTTATAATTGAGAAAGTTGGTGATAAATCTAATTTAGAGGGTGTTAAAAGCATTAAATTCAGTAAATATTTTTTATTGCTGAGAGGTCCACGTTTTGTAAAATATATTTTTTGTTTGTGAGAGGTCCATGTTTTGTAAAATAGTTTGGTGACAAGTTCTGTAAGACATTTTGTTTTTAATTTTACCCTTTAACTTTTTTTTTATTTATTTGTTTGACTTTTCGTTGACTATCTGTTCAATTTTTTTACTTATCGGTTCAAATTATTTACTCTATATGATCAAATTTATATCTATCTGTTTAATTTTTTTTCTATTTGTTCAAATTCATATATGTATATATCTATTCAAATTTTTTGACTATCTATTCAATTTTTTGATCTTTTCAGTTCAAAATTTGTTCTAATTTGTCAAACCAACTTTATCTGTTGTTAAAATCTTTATATTTATCTATTGAACATACTCTATCTAGATAGAGAGATACCTATTAATTTTTTTTTAAAAATCCAGATCATCATCATCATCATCACCATCATCAACAACAATAACAAATAATTGAAAAATGCTAGGGATTTCAAATATTTTACCAAATGTCTCATATAGGTGTAGGACCAATACTATGTGTGCCCTATATGAGCCCCACACCCACATGAGACATTTGATAAAACATTTGGTAAAATATTTAGGGTTACTAATATTACTCAAATTTGTTAATCTGTTAAAAAATAATAGCAAAACATGATATGTCCAACAACAACAATAAAAAAAGAAAAAGAAAGATACTTCTTGTTTGATATGTTGAAACTAGTGGTGCCCTCCAAAAAAATAAAAACAAATAAATACATAAAATAAAATAAAAACTGAATTGAAAAGCAACAAATTAATTGAAAGTTTATTTATAATAAGGGCAAATTACCTACACCTCTTTTGAGATTTAGTTAAATTATAAATTTTTTCTTTAGGTTTCAGAAATTACATCTTGCCCCATTGTAGTTAACGCCGTTAACAGAGATAATAAATTGACTAAAATGCCCTTGGGTAAATTACACTGACACCCTCTAAGATTTCAGTTTAATACAGATCTCTCCTTACATTTGAAAAATTACATTCCCTTCCTTGATGTTTGTAATCTCATTAAGAATGCTGATGTTATACCTTAAAATTTTCTAAGTGATCATCTTGTCATTTTTCTTACCATTTCTTCTTCCTATCATCATGACTACATTTTACAACTTTCCATTATTAAATTCTAGTTGAACATATTGTTATTGAGAGATGATATACAAACATAAAATTTATATAGAATTTTCAAACACAATAATATAGCTTAATGGTAACCTTCTACTTTAAAACAAACACATCCATAAACATGATTTATATATTTACAACAATATAACTATCACAACATTTTTATGATATTTTTTTGTATAAATCTTTATATATGAATATAATTTTTCATTTTTATTTCCACTGTTATATCTAGGGCTGAACAAGAAATCCATATAATTCGTAATCTGATCCGGTTCAGCCCAATCCAGTAGGTTTGGATTGGTTTTTTGAATTCGTGGTTCGATTCCGGATTATAAATTTAAAAATCTGTAGGCCATGGATCGATTCCTAATTGAATCTCACAGTTCTAAACTATATACAAATAATCTATATTTATATTATAGATCCTTCAACATAATATCATTTCTTATTCCATCCCTAATCCTAATTCAACATATCACATGTTACTGTCTCTCATACTCTCATCTCTTTGTCGGTACTCTTTCTCTCTCTTCTATTTCTCAGAGTGAGTTCTCTCTTTATTCTTATGATTTAATTTCAGATCAGATCGGTGGATTTCCATCTTAGATTAGATCGGTAGCGGCTTGGTCTCTTTCTCTATCTCTTTTTTGGTGAGCTCTCTTTCTCACGGTGACACTTTTTTTTTGTTTGTTTCTTCTTAGACTCAGTAAGCTAGCGCCTTCTTTCTCTCTCTCTGTGTCTCTAACACTCTGTTACTTTTTTGTGGATTTCATACCAGATCGGTGGACTTAATCTCAGATCAGAGATATGCAGTGAACTCTACACTCTCAAATCGATTGTTCATCTCATTTTTGTTAATCTTTTCTTCAATGGATTCGGTAAATGTAAGTAAAATGTTTCGCTGAGGTGTCCGTTTTCTTCAAATCGATTATGTCTGTTTCTTGCTCTTTTTCTAATAAACTTGAATCCCCATAGATTTCTCACCTTTTCTTTTTTAGATTTTTAATTTTGCTAAGGTGGCTTTTTTTTCCGAACTATGATGCTCGGCTATGTATTGGGTTGTTTCCCGAACTTGAATCCCTATAGTTTTCCGTAAAGAGAGCTTTCCGGCCAGGAGAGGTGGGTTGGTTTTGTCTCGGAGATGAAAAGTGCAGCATTGGTTTGGGAGTGCAACAGTGTTGTCAGGAACAGTGATGAAACATTGGTTGTCAGCGTGGGTCTTGGCATTGGATTGTGTGGGTTGTTGAAAAGAGGAGTGTGGTTGTTTTTGGTGGAATTATAAAGTGCAGCAGCATGAGTGAAGTTATTTTGACAGTGTAGCACTTGGGAATTTGTTGTGGTTAGTGTGGGTTGTTTTGTGGATTTTAATTATTTTATTTTTAGAGTTAAGTGCTGTAGCTTTTGGCGGAAAAGAATAGTGTGCGTTGGTGGAGAAAAAAGTAATTTGGATTCAATTATGTTTATGTTTTTATGAAATTAAAATATTTTATGTATATATTTTTTGTTATTTAATTATGTAAATTTATGTTCCTAAATCGATTCAATCCGTATTTAAACGGATTGGTTTCACAATTTAAACGGATTAGATTGGTTCCAATTTTTCAGGAATTGTAGATAACGAATTGGTCTTGGTTTTATCTCATTCTGGACCAATCCAGACCATGTTCATCCCTAATTATATCTAGATTAGATCAATTTAATTTAGATATATTTTAAAAGTATAAAATTTGTGCAAATTTTTTTTAAAAATTCATTGAATATAAAAAAAATAAGATAATGTATTGAATTTTTCTAAGCTAATATTTCAATTTCAAGTAACTTGAGTGCTTTTTTTTCATTCCTTCCATGTTGAAGAGGATTCCATGGTACTTACTTATTACCCAGAAAATAATTGTTCACCCCCCAAAAAATAATATTAAATTAACTAAATAAGTTGTGAATACAAAATTAATTAATTGAATAAGTTATGAAATGCAAAATTAAAATAGAAAAACACTTATCAGATGGTGAAAATATCATAAAATAAATAATTAAATAAGTTACCAACGCAAGAAATGACTTATCAAAAGATTCTTAGGTTATGTTTGGTTTGATTTTTAGAAATTTGTTTTAGAATTTTTTTTAAAAAATTAAAAATTAATTTGGTTGAAAAATAAAAAATAAAATATAATCATCATTTTTATATAATTTTACCGTTTGATTGGTTAGAAATTCTTTTTACAAATTAAATATATTTTTTCATATTTATTTTTATTAAGGTTGTTTTGGGAAGTTGGTAAAAAGCTGGCTTTTGGCTTTTTATCAAGTTTTTTGGCTTTTTTGGAAGTGATTTGGGAAGTTGGTAAAAAGCTAACTTTTTACTTTTTAGTTTAATATTTATTTATGGTGTCAAATCAAATTAAAATGACCAAAATACCCTTACCCAACATAAGAGATTTATTTTTTTATTTTTTTTTCATAGGTCCTAATTTGTAATTTTATGGTTGCGTTTTTTGCACTTGCCAAATGGCTTTTCTGGCTTTTTTGGCAGCCACGTTTTTGGACATTTTGTCCAAAAACGTGGCTTTTTACCATGTTCCCAAAATGGCACTAAATTAGTGTTCATTTTTTCAAAAAAAAAAAAAATTCCTGAATTTTTTTTTTTCTAAACAACAAACCAAACATGGTTCCAAAAACTTAATTTTTTTTTTCTTTCTATCTAACCTAATTCTTTTATAAATTTTATTGATTTATGAAAGGAATTTCAAGTTAACTCAGGCTCTTTGGTGCTTTGGAAAAATACTAGGAGTAATATCGTTCATCAATATATATTTTGATGATGTTAGCATGTTTTTGTAACCATTTTTAACGTTTAGTTCACGATAAGAGTTAAATTGTTATGCGAATATGAATATCAAGAGACAGGATGTAATTTTTGAAATTTCAGTAGAGAATCTGTAATTTAACTAAACCTTAAAGAGTGTAGATAATTTTAGGGGTATACACGGTTCGGATTGGTTCGGCTTTAAGAAAATTCAAGAACCGAACCGATCCTAACGGTTCTGTGATTTTGAGAACCAGACTAGACCGTTACACTTGTAAAACCGGACCAGAACCAAACTGAAAAAACGGTTCGGTTTCGGTTTGGTTTACGGTTCTAAAAATTTCTATTTACAAGAATAAATTGTTAATATTAGCAAAATAATTACTAATATTATCTTGTTTATGCTAGCTATCCAAACCGCACAGGTTACCTCGCAGCATTCAAAGGCAGCCGTTATCACCGACAAGAATTTTGCAACCAAAGGTCTAGGAGCGCAGCAAATCCGAGGGAATTATTTAACAAGGTTCACATGTCGTTACGGAGTGTCGTGGAATGAACATTCGAGGCATGAAAAAATCGATGGGGGTTTACTTGAAATATGCCTCGGTATGACTTCGCATCTGTGCAAGTACAGTTAGTTAGTGCCTCAATGGCTTTACATAAGTATATACGTAGAAGTACTAAAAATCGAATGACTATTAACCCCATCGTAACCGAAGAAGACGCTATTACAATAGTAAATGGCATACTCGAAGCTGCACATGAAGAGAATGGTTTAATGGTTGGGAATGATGACCCTCATATGGCAACGGTGCACCTTCACATAAGAGACAAGTTGATGTACATGCGCAAGCACAGAATGCTGGGAAACATATAGTACAACTACTAATGTATTTGTGAAATATTCTTCATCTACACCCGCTAATTTGGTGTGTTCAGGGGTGTACAATATGTTAGTTATTGCTCCACGTCATATTTATGTATTATGTAGGTAAAATTGCATATCATTTACAGGATTAGAAAATAGTACAAATGTAACGTAGAAGCGCAATGCAATTTGTTGGTGTGGATTGTAGGAATATCATACGTAGTAATATTTGCAAATAGGATGTCATTTGTTGTGAAATAGATTGATGTACACGTAAATCATCCGAAACATGTGTGTACGTGTTTTAAAAAAGTGGGTTCGACTTTTGGCAATGCTTGTTATTACACTGTAGGAGGAAAAATCTTTTGATGGGTTGGTTTTTGTCGCTTGTATGACATATGTAAAAGGAAGACTGAAATAAATATGATTTACGTTGATTTGGAGAGGAAAATAATTTGTTAGTTATTAATATAAAAATATTGTTAGTTATTAATAGGGATGTAATCGGTTCGGTACGAATGGTATTTAGATAAAAATTATATCGAACTAATAATGTCGGTTTTATTATTTTGAATACTGATACAAATCGTTTCTCCCATCAAACCACACCGAACCGAACCAATTGAAACGGTTCGGTTTGGTGTTGTTTAATTGGTTTAGGATTTTTTAAACTTAAGCCACTTTTAAATATAATTATTAATCTATATAAAAATCTTAAATTAGTAATTTGTCTATCATTCCAAACATATCCAATTTAATACATACTTTTCAATTCCTAAATTAATAAAAAAAAAAGGCTTTAAAATACTAAGGTTTCAAGAATAATAAGTTAGAGTTAAGATTATATATAATAAGAGTTTACAAATTTAGGTTATAAAGATGATAAAGTTAATTAATTAAGGTTAATAATTTATTATACTTATTAATATCATTATATTATTAAATTATATTTATTAAAAATGAAATATATGCTGAAGCGGTCGGTTTCGGTTTAGATTGGTGCACAAGATGCTTAAATCGATACTGAACCAAAAATCTCAAAAATTCAAATTTAAAAATCGCACAGACTGATTCTTGTTAAAAAACAGACCAAATATAGCTAGTTTGGTCCGGTTCAATCGGTTTTGTTGGTTTTTCTTACATCTCTAACTACGGTGATAAGATTGTCGGCGACGGTGTGATGTGGCTTAGATCTATTAAAGGACAAGGAGATCTGGTCGACGGGAAGCTTAGGAAGTACGCGAAGCTATGACTGAAGACGGTAACAAGCCAAGAGAGAAAGAAAAGGTCGTCGTTAGAAGACCAAGCTCGTCGTCGTATTCGATGGAGGAAGACCAAGCTCGTTGTCAGAAGCTTCGAAGAATTGAAATCTCTGATCTAGAAGTGGTACAAATTGGCGGCGACAGAGGGAGAGAGAGAGAGCTACGGGCGTGACGGATAAAGGGAGACTTTGAAGATGAGAGAGAGAGAGAGAGAGGGGTTAGAGTTAAATGAGAGAGAGTGTATGTGGGTGTTTTGATATATAATTGTATAATCAAAATTTTAGTTGTAACTTTAGTTTCAGTATAAATTTATAAATTTATAAATTTTTTGACTCGTTAAGGCTCGTGAATAGGCTCGAGCTTGAGTAGAGTTTAAGCCAACTTGGTTCATTAAATTTTTATTGAGCTCGAACTTGAGCTTGAGTTCGTTAAAATCTTAATAAACAAGTCAAAACATACTAAAGCTCGACTCGGCTTTGCTTGGTTCAGCTCATTTGCAGCTCTAATAACCAGGTATATTTTGAACTAATTTTTTTACGCCTAAACTTTGAACAAAAAAAAATAATGCTAGAGACTCCAAATGTTCTACCAAATGTCTCACATAGGTGTGAAGCCCATCCATGTAAAACATTTGGTAAAACATTTGAGATTCTTAATTTTTTTTTTCTATAAAAAAATTTTAATTTTGGATTTTTGAACCGCAAGCCCTTTTAAATAAGACTTTAACATACATGGGTGTGGGATCCACATGATATAGGTTTCACATCAATGTGAAATATTTGACAAAACATTTGAGATTCCTAATATTTTTTATAAAAAAAAGTAGGTTGCGTTTGGTAGAGTTTTGTAAATATGATTTGAGAGTATGAGTTGTATTTTGAGTTTGTGAGTTGTAGAATTTGAGTGTAGAAAATTTGTTTGGTTATACTTTTTGAATAGAGTGTTGAATTGAGTTTTGAATTGAGTATGAAATTGAGTTTTGAAAGTTTGATTTGCCATGTGAAGTAAGGAAATTTGTTTGGTTATGAGTTTTGGAAAGAGTTTTCAAAACTTAATTCAAATTGTTATAACTCATAACAAAACATACTACTTTTACACTCATGAAAATTCTAATCAACACTCATAACCAAACTCTTTTTAAAATTCAATTAAAAAAATTTATTATTAACAAAAAATAACATTAATCGATTTTTTAATTGAAAATACTACAAAGGAAATAATTTTTTTTCAAAATAAATATTCAAAAAATTTAAATCATAAATATTTAAATAATTTAAATAATCTAAAAAAGTTAATAAGTAAAAAATTAAAATAAATATTGAAAAAATCTAAATCGTAAAAATTTAAATATTCAACAAGTAAAATAGGGTTTGAATTTATTTTTATAAAATATTTTAAAATTTAAAAAATTAAAATCGTAATATTTTGAAATTAAAATATTTAAAAATATTCAAAAAATTAAAAAATTAAAAAAATCGTAACATGTTTAAATATTAAAATATTTAAAATCTTAACAAAATTAAAATATTTTAAAAATATTTAAATATTTAAAATATTAAAAAAATTAAAATATTAATTTGAATTGAATTTTGAATTATGTTTTTAGTTATGACTTTTGAAAAGTAATAATTATGTTTTAAATTAAATTTTGAGAAATGAGTGTAGAATTATGATTTGAAAGTTCAAAACAAACAAAACACTCAAATCAATAGGTAGAAATATAATTTGAAAGTTGTGTCAAACAGAGCCTTAATTTTGGATTTTTGAACTGGAAGCCCTTCTAAGGGTCCGTTTGGGAAGGGCTTTTCCGGGTTTTTTTTGGCTATTTTAGTCACAAAAGACAAAATAGGCTATTTTAGCCACAAAAAATAAAACATTACATCCAATCCATAATCATTACATTCTTCTCTCACAAAAAAAGTTAAAAAAGCCAAAAAGTCAAAAAGCCCTTCCCAAACCAAACTTTTTAGCCCAAGCTAAAATAGCCAAAAAAGTCAAAAAGCCAAAAAGCCAACCCACTCTCCAAACGGAGGCTAAATAAGACTTTAACAGTTTGAAAAATGTCAAAAATTTTTTTTTTTTTTTTTTTTTTGATTTTCAGCGAATCATGGCCCGCCACCTCACTGGGGGTCGACCCCCAGTGGGGGTATTTAGCATGGTTGTTTTGAAAAATAGATGTAGAATTATGATTTGAAAGCTCAAAACAAGCAAAACACTCAAATCAATAGGTAGAACTATAATTTAAAAATTGTGCCAAACAGAGCCTTAATTTTGGATTTTTGAACTGGAAGCCCTTCTAAATAAGACTTTAACAGTTTGAAAAATGTCAAAAAAAAAAAAAAAAAAAAGTACAATTATGACATTGATATTCTCAAAAAAGTGTACTATCAAAGGGTAATTTTGGAAAATCAACTTTTTAAAAGTACAATAATTGTATTACCAAAAAAAGTTAGATTCCCTAAAAAAACCATTATTTTGGGACGGAGGGAGTTCAAGTTTTAAAGTTACAACAAAACTCAGCCGTCAGATAACTAACAATGATTCTTCTTATCAAAGGGAGTGCCAAGCTCAACCACTTGGCGGATGTGCCAAACGGTCCAAACCTTGACGAGCCGCGGGCGAGCCAGGGTCGACCCTGAGGGCCTGATCGAAGGCCTTCCTGGCCTCATCACTCATACCCTTCATCTCATAACACTGTCCCAACAAACAGTACGCCTTGGCGTTATCGGAGCTGAGCCTGACCGCCGCCACCAAATCCTCCACGGCCGAGTCAAGTCTCCTCCGCTTGTTCACCGCCACGTGCAGCTCCGCCCTCTTGAAGAGCGCGTCTCCTTTCTCCCTCTCCGACAGAGACTTGACGGCCGGCGGAGAGAGGGCGGCGTCGAGAGATCTGAGGGCGGAGGACTTGTGGCCCATCAGATCGAGGGCCAGGGCCTTGAGGATGAGAGAGGCGGCGTCCTTGGGATCGAGAGAAAGGGCTTTGTCGGCTTCGAAGACCGCGTCCTTGGCGAGGTTGATGGAGGTGGTGCGGTTGCGGGCGGATCGGGCTCGGGCTAAGAGCTGGGCGCCCTGGACGAAGTGGCGGTTAGAGAGGGCGGTGGTTCGGCCCCTGGATCGGAGTTTGGTGAGGGCTTTTTTAGGGAAATTGAGCATGCCGAAGAACAAGGCTAGGGTTAGCAATAACATGGTCAATTGTAGCATCGCATCTGTCCCCATGTCTCTCTCTCTCTCTCTCTCTCTGTGCGAGAGTAAATGGAGGGGTTTACAGAGAGTGGGGGTTGTTTGACGAAAAAGACGATTTCGGGCTGATGGCTTAACCAAAGGCCCAAACTATAGACAGTATTTATCCAATCAATGATATGGGGTTTTGACTTCCCAGCATTTTTATTTTCTGATTATTTTTACTTTTATTTTTAAAACAAATTTTCAAAGGATTCGAAATAACCTCAGTACATTACATGAATTATTATTATAATCTTGTAACTTATTTTTAGTAATTTAGTTGGTTCATAATATAGTAGGGGTTGTTCATCAGTCGATTTAGTTTGGTTTCACACTAAATTTAAAATTAACCCAATTATGATTGGTTTTAAATTTTAATTCAGAACTAATTATGCACTACAATTAATCATAAATATTTTAGTAAATCTCATTTCTTACATAATATATATTTTAACACACCTAATTATATTATTGGAGCACACAATCACTCTCTATACTAACAAATACTTAGCAAATATCATTAAGTTTCACTTTTCATGCATTTTGTCGTATAAAACACTTTGGAGATGCTATTGGAGATGCACTTTGTCATTTTGTCATATAATACATTAAGTTTGTCACTTTTCATACATTAAGTTTCACTTTTCATACATGAAAAATCTAAAAATTCCCTAAATGTTAGATGTTGATTTGTAATTTTGTATCAATTTTAAGCAGTATATAATAATCACAATCAAACAATCAAGACAAATCAACACAGCGATTTTACGCGGAAAAATTACAATTGGACACCTCCAATTGTGATAAAAAAAACTACGGGCAACAGCCACAAAACAATCCACTAAGAAGATATAAAGGAATTACACATGTATACTCTCAATTACTTAGCGAATCCACACCCGAATTGAACCAACCTCTATGTGCCTCTTCCAACCCCGTCTTCACTTCAGAATTGTCTTGACGATGAGTCACTCCGGAATCCACCAAAGCTTCAGACTCGAATTCTTCAGAATCCACCGAAGAACAATTCTCTCTTTTGTGAAGAACAAACAAATAATCCTTTGATGTATACTCTTTAAACCATGAGTTGAATACTCAATCAAAACATCAAAGAAAACTAGCAAAATATCTCCAGATATAAATCCTAGGACCTAAGAAGAAGATCTAGAGAAGTTATCCTAGATTTGGACTGAAACACGTATTTATAGAAACCTGTCCCGTGATCTCCACTCGAGCGGACCTACGCTCGAGTGCGGAAAGTTTCGCTCGAGCCGGAAAAAACAACATCCAGTATTTTTGCAGGCGAATAAACTTCTGGAACTCAGCATTCTCCGCTTGAGCGGGGAGGTAACTTTGAATGCATTTTTGCATTTTGCTTCGGGGGCGCTGCCCCTCGACCCTACCGTGGCGCTGCTCCCTGGACCCCTGCGAGCTAACCGGACAGCTCGATTCCCGTCATAATCAGTGAAGTGGCAATCTTGAAAGAATTAACATCACAAACTTCTCTGCAAGACATAATTCGAGTTGGATTCACATCTAAACACTCATAGCCTGTAATGCCCCGACCCTTTACACGTCTTCGATATTGTCTGTTTTGGGCCACGCTCGCACGAATTTGTTCTTCCCAGTGGGTCACCCATCCTAGAACTACTCCAGCCTAAGCACGCTTAACTGGGGAGTTCTAATAGGGATTTCACCACTTGGGAAAAGGCCTCGATGCTATATAAGGGTCCAAGTTTTTACTTTTATAGCCCAGGAACTCCCCCTCCATTCCCGATATAGGATACCGGGGCCTTACAATCCACCCTCCATAAGGCTGCACGTCCCCATGCAGTAGCCTGCCAGCTCGCAAACCCGCCACATGCACCGAGGGACGCCAGGGGCCCACACTCGGTACTCTGGAGAGTCGGCTCTGATACTATTTGTAACGCCCCGACCTTTTACACGTCATCGATATTGTCTGTTTTGGGCCACGCCCGCACAGATTTGTTCTTCCCAGTGAGTCACCCATCCTAGAACTACTCCAGCCTAAGCACGCTTAACTGGGGAGTTCTAATAGGGATTTTACCACTTGTGAAAAGGCCTCGATGCTATATAAGGGTCCAAGTTTTTACTTTTATAGCCCAGGAACTCCCCCTCCATTCCCGATATAGGACACCGGGGCCTTATATAGCCTCACTGAAATAAAAAGTGCAAAAATAAGTACAACTGAAAGGAGTTTTGTTCAAACGGGATTGCCAAGAAAAAACCTAACAATCTCCCCCTTTGGCAATGCCGTGACAAAACACACCTAACAAATAAAATTCTAATCACCCCAACCCATTACAGCTAACAAAAACAAACTTCTTTACAAACTTCTTTCTCAAGGTCATGAGCTGTAAAATAACTATTAGTGCCACAATCTCCAAAACAACTATTAGTGCCACAAGAGTATATGAAAAAACAATAAACATATGACAAGATTATCTTGAAGCATGAGATGGAAAACATGAATAGATACGACTTGGAGATTTTAAGAACATGTAGCATGAAAACCTGAAACCTAAGACATATGCACTCGACACACATCACTCCCCCTTTTTGTCACGAATTGACAAATGAAGCTCAATCAACTAAACCAAGATCAAAAACCACACAAGCAATGACATGATGATCAAAGTGTTCATGCTTACAAACTCTTTTAATGATAAACCAAACTCCCACTTACGAAAAACAACCACAAACATGGAAAACAATGAACAGGAAGAAAACGACAAAAATAATATGGTGGAGCAAGCAGAGAATTTCAGATTTGTACCTTAAAACACACAAGACTATCCAAGAAGCACAATTACTTGAAAACACATTGTGCATAGCCTCTAGAAAATTCCTTGTAAAAGAAAGTGATGCATTATGTGAAAAGCATAGATCCCATGGTAAAAGTGTGTGTGTGACTCTTGGAGTTTGACAAATACTAGATTCTAATCCTAGTAGTGATATGAAAGCTGGACCTCTGACAAGAGAATCTAAACACAACAAAGGAAAGTCAAACCACTAGGAATCAAGGAGTATTTGGTGAGTAAAGGCGGATGCTTCCCCTCAATCAATGAATCTTTTCTTATTCTTTTTTTTCTTTCTGTCTTTTGCACATTTTTTTTTCTATCTTTTGCAAATTTTTTCTTCTTCTTTTTCTTTTTCTTTTTCTTTTTCTTTTGCACACTCATTGGCGGCTGACACCCAAGAGTATGGAAACTGAACCAGAGAAGCATGGATATAATAAGGATGGCCTGGTTGGTGACTCTGAGGTAGCCTTTTCCTCATGGCTGGACTACACAAAATAGAGGGGAAAGCCGTGGAGATGCAAAAAGATGGAAGATGGTTAAGAGACTCAACATCAACCATGATATGCTAGTATAGGTTAATTCCTCTAGAAAAGCAAAAGATACAATATTAGAAGTCCAAAAAAAAAAAAAATATCACTAAGGCAGAAGACTCTGATATTTGCTAATCCAAGAGTGTGTACAGAATGAGACATACTAATCAAGACACACTCTCCAAAATGAGTAATGATCACAGAAAGCACACACTTATTAACATGTAATGGATATTCTTATCAATTCCAATATGTACTAAGGACTATACAAAAATTTCAAGTTTGCAAAACCATACTAAGAAAATCTTTTTGGTTTTTTTTTTTTTTCCAAAAATAAAGTAAGACAAAAAAATGAACAAGTACACATGTAAAGACAAAAAAAAAAAAAAACACACACACACACACACACAGAAACCCAAAAACTAAAACGACAAAACAAATTAACGTAAGTCAAGTTTTTTCACCCAAACTGCTTTAGTACGAACAAAGTTGTGAGAATTGCGGTTCTTGGGTGGTGTCTTGACGTTGTGGTTCCCTCCCTTTTCAATGAGAACCTGTCTTGACATGGTTTCCAACTTCCTATAACTAGGACTAGGAAAACACAGCCTCTGTTCATGTTTGGTCTCAAGCAAATCAAAATAGCAAGGTTTATTATGACCCTTAACCTCCTTACAACCAATGAAGTGTCTCTTACCCCATGAGATGTTAGAATTTCTTCCATCTTTATGAGACACTCTCCCATACAACTTATAACAATAAGGGTGAATATGACCATGCATACCACAATGATGACAAATAAAAACAGGGTGTATCTTTTTTTTTTTTACCTTACCAACTCTAGAAAATTTGAGAAATCCATCCTTTTGTTGAAGTTTTTGTTCTCCCTTTCCTTGAGTTCTTGTATAATGAGATGTGGAAGCACTCTGTTTTTGCTCTTTCTTACCACCAAAGCCAATGTCACTCTTGTCAGAACAAATTTGTTGAGACCCAATGATATTGTCCAAAGTCTTTGATCCCTTGTTCCAAAGACCAATGGTAGCCATAGCACACTAGAGTTATTCATTTTTCTTGATCATTAGTTCTTCTAAAGCAACTTGAGACATCTCGAGAGTTTCAATTTTTTCTTCATATGTGGCACAGATTTGTTGTAGCTTGTTCCTCTCTGTCTCACAAGTCAAGAGTTTTGCACAAAGAGCTTGTCGATCATTAGCTATCTTGATGGCATCAATCCTAGCCTCGGAAATCTCCTCGTTTAGTTTGACATTCTCACTTTCACATGTTGTGAGTTTCATAGTGAGTTTGTCATTCAATTTGGATAACTTAAGAGATTCCTTATACAACTTTTCATAAGCTTGCTCAAGCTCTTCATCATCACTTCCCGAGGATTCATCATCAGTGGTATTCTCAACCAGGCTCTTCGGATACTCTGTTCGCCCTTCAGTTTCAGAAGCCGCCATGAAAGCAAGGAATTGTTTATGTCCCTCTTCGCCTTGATCTTCATTGTCACTTTCATCTTCATCAGATTCTGATTCATCATCCCAAGTGATGCCGCGGGCTTTCTTCTTCTTCAAACGAGTGGGGCATTCTGAAGCAAAGTGGCCAAATCCTTGGCATTCATAGCATTGGACTCTTTCAGAGTTCCTTTGTATCTTTCCTTTTTCCTTCTTGGCTATAGAATTGATTTTGAGCTTATCTTTGCCTTTAGATTTATGAGTATGAGTAGATTTCAAAAATTTATGATTCTTTTTCAGAAAAGATTTTTTAAATTGTTTAACAAAAGCAGCCGTAATTTTAGAATCTATCTCACAATCCTCATCTGAATCCTCTTCAACTCTATGAGTACTACTATAAGCAATAGTATCTTTTTGTTTCTTTTTAAAATTCCTATGTGCTTCATAAGTTTGGAGATTTCCAACCAAGTGATCCAGCTTGAAGTTGTCAACATCTTGAGCCTCCTCAATAGCCGTAACTTTTGGTTGGAACCGATCGAGCAAGGATCTCAAAATTTTTCCCACAACTTTGGATTCTGGTATTTTTTCACCTAAATTGAAGCTGGAATTTATAATGTCACTCAATTTCGCATAAAATTCATCAAAGGTCTAACTATCTTTCATTGAAAGGTTTTAGAAATTAGATGTGAGCCTTTAAAGTTTTGAGCGTTTAATAGAAGGAGTGCCCTCATGAATAGTTTGTAAGATATCCCAAGCCTCTTTTGCGACTTCACAATTGCAAATACGACTAAACTCTTCAGGTGTGACAGCGCAAAAGAGAGAATTGATATCTTTACTATTCTAGCTACTATTTTGGTAATCAATTGTGTCCCACTTATCAATTGGTTTGGGGAAAGTTACTCCATCAACAGTAATTGTTGGTTCAATCCACCCATTCATGACAGATTGCCAAAATTTTTCATCTATAGATTTCAAAAACGATCTCATCCGAGCTTTCCAAAAAGAATAATTGGATCCGTCAAGTAGGGGTGGTCGAACCATAGAATTTCCCTCACGTATTGAATCCATTATCATAAATCAAATAAGATCTCGTTCTAAAATAATTTTTTTTAAAAAAAATAGAACGACCTGCTCTGATACCAATTGAAAAATCTAGAAATTCCCTAGATGTTGATTTGTGATTATGTATCAATTTTAAGCAGTATATAATAATCCTAATCAAACAATCAAGATAAATCGGCACAACGATTTTACGTGAAAAAATCACAATTGGACACCTCTAATTGTGATAAAAAAATCACGGGCAACAGCCACAAAACAATCCACTAAGAAGATATAAAGGAATTACACAGGTATACTCTTAATTACCTAGCGAATCCATGCCCGAATTGAACCAACCTCTATGTGCCTCTTCCAACCCCGTCTTCACCTCTGAATTGTCTTGATGATGAGCCATTCCGGAATCCACCAAAGCTTCAGGCTCGAATTCTTCAGAATCCACCGAAGAACAACTCTCTCTTTTGTGTAGAACAAACAAATAATCCTTTGATGTATACTCTTTAAACCATGAGTTGAATACTTAATCAAAACATCAAAGAAAACTAGCAAAATATCCCCAGATGTAAACCCTAGGACCCAAGAAGATGATCTGGAGAAGTTATCCTAGATTTGGACTGAAACACGTATTTATAGAATCCTATCCTGCGATCTCCGCTCGAGCGTCAGATTGGCCGCTCGAGCGGACCTACGCTCGAGCGCGGAAAGTTCCGCTCGAGCGGGAAAAAACAACATCCAGTATTTTTGTAGGCGAATAAACTTCTGGAACTCAGCAGCTCGATCCCCGTCATAATCAGCGAAGTGGCAATCTTGAAAGAATTAACATCACAAACTTCTCTGCAAGGCATAATTCGAGTTGGATTCGCATCTAAATACTCATAACTTCACTGAAATAAAAAGTACGAAAATAAGTACAACTGAAAGGAGTTTTCTTCAAACGGGATTACCAAGAAAAAACCTAACAATACACTTTGTCATTTTGTCATATAATACATTTTGTCAAATATCACACACCCAATTATATTTTTGTAATCATTCTATTGGAGATGTTCTGAGACGCCACGAAACCAATCAACCTTGTTCTAAGCTGAATTTGTTTTCTTAAGCAGTGAAAATTCATATTGCACAGAGAAATATTGTTTATTTTACCTGATTTATTTCATCTATTTTTATCACATTTTATTTTACATGTATAAATGTAATAAATATTATATGTATTGATAATATTAAAAAAAAATCTCCACTCACAAAACCGCCATTGATTGCTTATACGTCATTTTGTTTGTATCAGTCACCCTTGTCATATGCATTTTATTGATATTATACATTTTTGGTTTACTAGAATGAAAAAAAATATTTAATAGATAATAGAATCATTATTTATCATTGTAAAAAAAAAGAAAAAAAAGAAGTCATTTCATAAGAAAAATTAAGGAATGATAGTTTAATTTCATTCAATTTCATTTCAGTTAACTAGATCTACATTAGAATGATTAGCCATTGATAAAAGGGGTAGGAAATGAGAACCTAGAATTAGAAACAAATATGAAGTAAATGGAAGATGAATAAGAGTGATAGTTTAACATTCAGATACTAAAGTAATTACAACAGATCAGGATGGTTCATTAGTTAGACTGAACAAACTGGATTCAGTGGAAGTTCATAAGTTGTGAAGTTTCACCTGTTTTCAATGCCCAAAACAGTTCCATTATTCCATAGTTGACAAAAGCTCATATTGCTCAGTAAAGGAGTTATGTCAAGTGCTATGTTAAAATATTGTGTCTTGAATTTAGAAAGGAAAATGACTTTTAATTGCAACAACAACATGACTTCATGATACCAAGTATGGATTTTGTAACTTGTATGAATTGCAATACTTTTACAGCCGTAAAGAGTGGTGTTCCATTTCTGAGTTGTGTGTTCATATCATACTTCACATTTTCTACATGGATTAATAAAACAAACACTTGGTATAAATAAAAAAAAATTCAAAAATATTTATATATTTGGAATAAATACAGAAACCCAACTTTGGATGCTTGATTGTTACAAAAATATATATAGCTGTTGGCCATCAGAAAACATTCCTCACTCTTGGAAGAAACCATAATTTGTGCCAACAGACAGCAAAAAGGTGAATAAACTAAACTACTAAGCAGCCATATTATTATTTTCTTCCAAAACAAGTTGCATATGGCGATTGAGGTCTTTGAGGTAACATGTAGAAGTGTAGTTTTCCAAATCACATGCATCCAAAATGATAGCTCTCCCTCCTATTGACTTCTGTTTCACCTCTATTTGTCCCCCCTCTCCTCTCAACAGCTGCACTACCTGCATTTTCCCAGAAAAATTTATAATCTCGTGCCTTAATTTTTGTAAAAAACTTTACCAGAATTATGTGTAAATCGATAGGCTATAAAACAATTAAACTATTTGAGGGCTTGTGTTTGGCTCGTCACATTTAAACAAGTTAAGCTTGTTATGATTGAGCACATTTTGTTTGTGTGTAGAAGATTACTCGTACATTAGATTAGAAAAAAAGAAGTAAACAAATAGGGGAATAATAATATTTCATTACCCGGGTCATGTTTGGGCGCATGTCAGGTAAGTGATGAAGGCATGCCAATGCTGTTGACATAACACGTTTCATTTCACCAGAGTCATATGCATCTCCCAAGCTAGGATCTGCTATGTCCTTCACATTGCTATTTTCCAACAACGGTTTTGCCTATACATATATAAAATACCCAAGTTTTTATCAATACATGATTCATGATCTTGGAAGTGTTTGTTAACATTGATGTCATGTTAGATTTGCGGATATATTATAGGACAAGTTATCCTAATGAAGATATTATATTTAATTTAGAAATCAAACATGGTAAAGGTTATATTAAATTGCAAAATCTATTGGTTGAAACAAATTTATTCACCTACCTAAAGAAACAACATATTTAGACATCAAAAAGCATTCCTCTGGATCAACAAAGAAAGGAGGACAAATAATAAATGTATTTCAAGATAAGACACAAATATTTAAACGGTTATTTTTGAAAGTTTTGTTTGGATTAAGCCCTATAGCTAACATGTAAACAATAATTATCTTCAAAAGATTTCTGATGAATTTTGTAGCAGGACTTATTAGTATTATAGTAAAAATTTGAAGAGTTTGATGACTAAATCATACCCACATCACTAGGCTTTGTCGATATGAATCAACTGCATGATGACCAGTTATAATTTCCAATAACAGCACCCCAAATGCAAATATATCAGTCTTCTCATCCACAATTCCATGCATGAAATATTCTGGAGCCATGTATCTGAATCGTTTAAAATCACAATACATAATAAGCTCACATGTTTATATGAAGTAAGAAAATAATAGCAATGTTATGTGCGCACACAAAAAAAATAAAAATAAAGAAGTGCAATTTTCTTTTCATATGGCATTAGCGATGAAAAAATCATTGAGGCTGCTCTTTTGCCTTACCCGAAAGTCCCCTCGATGGGATGGACAATATGGTGAAGCCATTTTTCAGGGAGCCATTTTGCTAGCCCAAAATCAGATATCTAGCATACCATTAATGGTATCAGAAAGTTGAATTAATTAATCAGATTTTGATTTCTAATTATTTTCCCAAAAAACCAAAAACCAAATGGAAAACAAAAACCTGAGGTTCATAGTCTTCAGCGAGTAATATGTTTGAGGCTGTGATATCCCTGTGGATTATGCGCCTCGGGCATTCACAGTGGAGATACTGCAGTCCTTCAGCTACCCCAAGAGCCACTTTAAACCTTATCTTCCATGCTAGACTCTCATTTGCACCTGAAATGCTGAATCTCTCTTGTTCAGTCAAATTAAATAACTAACTGATACAACTGTTGAGATCTAGTGTTTTTTTTAGTTCATTTACTATGGCTTTAAATTTTTTGAAACAATTGATGATTTAATATAGTATCGTATCTTTGGTTTCTGGAGGTCTTCATTCAAGTCTCATTATCACTCCCATTATCATGTCATTGTGTGCTGAGTCCGTTCTATCTCTGTGTGAGATAAGGTCGCACGTGAGGGGAATATTAGATATACGTTGTTAAACTCTTGTTTATTTATTTAATAGTTTAGGATAATTTGTGATCTAACAAGTGTGCTAGTGTCCAAATTTTAGAATTGATGTCTTGATGGTCTGCTGCACTCATATTTGGTTTGAGCCAAACCATCAAGACTGTTTGTGTCTGTGCAATTGCAGTGTAAACATATGAAACAGGGCAAAGAAGAGAATGAAAATAAGGGGATGGATAGAGCACCATGAAGCAGAGAAGCAAGGCTTCCATGGGGAGAAAATTGGACGACGAGGTGCAAGCCACCGTCAGCACTGAACCCAATCAATTTAGCAGCATTTGGGTGGTTGATATGAGCTATAATCCCAAGCTCAGTTAAGTAAGAACTGACTCTGTCCTCCTTTTTTTCTGTGTTTTTTGTTATTCTCTTCACCGCCACAACTTGACCATCCGGTAAGCACCCCTTATAAACTTCCGCATGACCCCCTTTCCCAATCAGCTTCTCTGTCGAAATTCAATACACAAACACAAACACAAACACGACTTAGTGAAACAGCCTAGAAATGCTGCAACTGCGAAGTTAGTTGATGTGGATTGTGAATGTAGTTAAAAGTCAATATCTAACCAGAAGGATAGGCTAACAATTATGCAGCAACAATCCGTTAGCTACAACGAGCATAGACTTTTTTTAAAATCACATTTACTCAACTAAAACCAGCCTGATTTGGATGTTGATTTAATTCACTGAAAACCTATGTTCGAGAAACTCAATAATAATTTCAAAGAACCATTTGGGGAATATATTGGTTAAGTTCAAAATGTGTTAGATGAACATGGATGAAACATTTCATCATCCTTGACTTGGGCATAGATTCATTTTTTTAGAAACAAATTTGGAACCTTGATTAAAATAATTACTTTAGGATGTAGATTCATTGCTGCTTAAAAAAATTGAGGCCAATTAGTATAAAACACTTGTGAACCATGTTTGTTGTTTTTTTTATTTTTATTTTTATTGGTATTATTATTTATTTATTTTGTGTTAATCCGTACAAGAGAATTTACAAATATTATAAGATTTATATCAAACTGAACATTTAACGGTATATGAAAGTCTAGCAAAAAGAAAGAAAGAACTCAAACAAACAAAAAAGAAAAAAACTCACACATAATTAGAAACCACACAACTTATAAATTTTTAGTGAGGTGCATGAACTATTGGCCAACGAACATCTTCATACTACCAAGAACGCTCTACCCAATCTAAACCAAGTTCCAGTGGTCCCAATCTCCCTATCCCAATGTTCTGCAATTCACATTATCAATAGTTGAGAGATTAATCGTATGATAAAGAAGTAATTTGCAACTGACACATGAGATATTGACTTTTCCAACAAAACAGGTCAAAATGTGAGGTCAACAATCACTTTCCTAACCTGTCCCTCCAATTTTCTTTCCCAATCAAAAGGTTTTGTCTTTTATCCCAAGCCCAGGCGGGTTTGAATGGTTGTTGTTGATTGATATTCAAAAACAAAACAAAAAGGTAGACCATGACATTAATCAATCATACAACTAAATTGCATTTAAACCCTGTTTGGTGCAAATGAATATATATAGATAAACTAAAGTAATATCATCCACAAAACTATGTACCAAGAAAAAATAGTCAAAGAAATACAGATGTACCTTTCTATTTAATCTAGGCAAGTAGCAGTCAATTTAAATGCATTCATCTTCAACAAAACATCTCTCTCTCACAGTTGAACATATCTTGATTTTTTTATTAGGGTTTGGATTTTTGTTGAAATCCATTTTTTTTTACGTGAGGGACTTATGGGTCTTAGTCAAATGTTCTGTCAAAAACAGGGGTGCGCAAGAACTCAAATGTTCTCTCCGCTGAACCATTAAAAACAGAGCACTCTGAACAATAATGATAAAAACAGAGAAAGAAAGAAAATAAAATCGGTTACCGGAGTTGAAATTGTCGGTTGCAGCGACGAGCTCGGTCCGACTGAAGCTCCTCCATGATGGTTTGGGCACCACCATATCACCGCAATCTATATCATCATCCGCACTCTGATTCCTCCCCAATTTCTTTATCAAGTTCTTCTTCGAAATATCGTACCCAGACAACAATGGAATGGTGGTGAACCGTCTCACTGATTTCATCTTTATGGTGTCAATGAAATTTTTCCAGTGCAAACCACCCTGACTCTCCCCAAACAAAGCTCTGTGAACCACCGATCGCTCCGACCCTGACGATTCGCAACTGCTGATACTGCTGTTATCGGAGTCTGACGAACCCGAAACAGGGACCTCCAATACACCTCTCGGCGATGACAATTCATTGTCCCCATCGGCCTCTTTTTCTATTTCATCGACCGACTCTGTTTTTGGGCTCTCTTCAATTTCTACAACTATTTCATCACATTACCATCAAAATTGAGAGCAATTTAATCAGATCAAAACATACAAAAACAGGGACATTAATTGAATTGAATATTTTTGAATGATGAATGAATAGAATAGCATGTGAATATAGTGTTACCTTCCACAGACATTATTGTTTTGGTGCTTTGTTGGGTTTCTCTCAAATTGTTGCAGCGTTTTTGAATTTGTTACTTGGGATTGGGAGAACTGTAATAATTTGAATAGAATATATCTACATATATTAGGTGTTCATCCCTCTTCTTCTCTTCTTCATGTGGGTAGAGAGAGAGAGAGAGAGAGAGAGAGAGAAGACACAGAATGAGAGAATTAAAAATGGTAATATGTTTCAGAGTTGGTTATTCCTTTGATAGAGGAGTGAAGGAGATAACCGGTTTTGTGGTGATTGGTATATATGCTATATTTATACACATGGTGATATTGATGTGTATCCATTCTATTATTTTATTGAGGTTAATTTCATTAGGATAAAATACATTTATAATTACTAAAATATGTGAAATACATTTATTATTTCATTAGGATAAAATACATTTATTATTAAATTTTTTAATTTGAATCAGTTGTGTCGAACTTGAAATAATTGTATAAATTATTTACAGAATGATAATGAAATACACGTGTGATCTTAATATATGTGTTTTGTGTGACTTGAGAAACACTAGGCCTTATACCTAAAAAGAAAAAATGACATAATTTCAAATTTTTAAGTCATAACTAAAAATAGAAAAAAAAAATGTCATAACTAAAAACAACATAAGGTATAATTAAAGAACACATGCATCATAACTAAAATAATATCATAATTAAAAAAAAAATTAGTCATAACTAAATAAGAAAATGACATAATTAGAAGTGTATATAGTACACAATTTTTAAAAGAGTGTATATTAGAAATTCCCGTGTGACTTTCGTTCCTAAAGTTTTTGATTTTGTCAATTTGATTTGGAAACATTGTCAAGAAATAAAATTGACAAAATTAAAAAACGAAATTGAGAATTTAGGGATAAAATAGAAAAAAATGATGATAGTTGAGGGAATAAAAGTGAAATTAACCCTATTTATTATTGTTATTATTTTTCAACACTAATGTTATTAAGTTAATAAAGTTAAAAGGGTTGTTCAAATAAATAAATAAATAAATAAAGTTAAAAGGGCGATGCTGCTCAATTGACTTGAATCATATCTCATTTAACTAGCGTATAAGTCTCTTGTCATAATCACTTTGGCTATAGGCTGGTTCTTACGTATTCTATTATATAAAATACACAATTTAAATTAATTTTGAAGCTTTATCATGTCTTTTTTTTCTTTTATTTTTCTTCAAGAATACTTCTTACAGTTTCAAATTTAATTCATCATTTTCATTAGACAATTGCTATATATCATATTTTTTTTCACTAGATCTTTCACTTCCAAGCTTCGCATGAAATATGTTAAGTTTTAAATATAATAAGTTCTATGAATGCATATGATTTTCAAGATTTTTTTTAAAGATATAAATACACATAAAAGTGACCTAAAGACTTGATATAAGTTCAATAATAAATAACATTTCTATTTTCATTAATTAAATCACACACAACATATATATTATATAATTAGGACCACATTTGTACTTAATGCTAATTAGCCTATGTTTGAGAAGTGAGTTTAGTGGTTTTTTTGGTTAAAATAGTCACAAAAAATAAAATAAATTTTTTAGTTCAATAAGACAAAACATCACATCCAATCTATAATCATTATATTTTTTTTCTCACAAAAAAATTAAAAAAATTAAAAATTTTTTTCAAACTAAATTTTTTAACTCCAAACTAAAATAATAAAAAAAAACTAAAAAATTAAAAAGCGAACTTCCTTCTTAAACGAAGCCTTATTATACTTACAAACGCCTGATTGGATAGATGTATGTCGGGGCTGCCATCAGCTGATGCAATCTCCGCCGTCCTTTTTTAACTTTGGTGTTGTTGGCGCAACAACTTTTAAAGTGGGGTGCACTCAAAATAAATAAATAAATAAATAACTTTTAAAGTGGGGCAGGCGAGGGTAAATAACCAACCCAACTAACTTATGTGAATTTGGTTCTTCAAGAGGGCATTTGTGGTACTCAAAAGTTGGTTATATATATATGTATATATATATAAGGATTTGGAAATATTATTTAAAAAATTGATGAACTCAGGGCCATAAAAAATAATACAATTATGAATTTTTTCAGACTAAATTTATCTTTGTTTTTTTGTACTAATTTTTTTTCTAACTAAATGATGTTTGTAACTGTAAGAATTTCACCCTCTTATAAAAATTTACACAGTAAATATGATGTGTATATATGACTCATTATATATACATTAGATTTTAATTGTCGATTTTTCTAACTCCCTCATCTTTACGAAAATAAAATGGTTTTTTATTTTTTATTTTTGATTAAGTTGAAATAAACAAACAACAAAACAATAATTGTTCATGAGGATACTAGGTCCTCTCTCAAAAAAAGGTTAACCATGTCTGCAACAAGTAGACATACAATTTGGCTAGGAGGGTCTTCAAAAACTAGGAAGGGTTTTTGGCTATTCACACTCAAATTGGCTAATTTTTTGATACATTGATTTCCTTCACGCCTTATGTAGTTTAGAGAGCAGTTGCACCTATCCATGAGAAACTTGGCATCTTCTAGGAGGGCCCGTTAGGGGAAATTGGATGGTGTTTCCCCTTTGAAGAGCTGAACTAGTTGTTCCGAGTCTATCTCGATGATGACTATTCCTTCATTCCCTTTTCAAAGATGATGGTGAGATCCCTATAGAATCCCCATAGCTCTGTTTCATCATTGGTCGCATTTCCAATAAATCCATGATAGCCATGCAGCCATGATCCATGCGAGTCCCTAATACTGTTTGGTTGAGGGATTTAGGAAGAGATTTGGAAACGAAAAGAGAAAATGTTTGTGAAATTAGGTAAAATGTAGGTATATTTTATTTACATTTTACTTACATTTTCCCTTTCCGTTTTCAATCCATTCCCAAATCCCCCAACCAAACACAACGTAAAGAAGTCATTGAAGCCAGCAGGTCATGGGTTTTTCTTCAAGCAACCATCTGTATTAAGCTTGATGTGTTAGTCCACTGCCCAAATGAAGAAACCACTATGGATAGTGGAAGAAGATAGGTAAGGTGGGCTCTCCCACTCTTCCACTCCACCAACCTCACTAGCTAGTGGAAGGGGTAGGTGGTGGCCAATCAAAGCCTCATTCATTTGTGTATAAATGAGGTGAGGAGGAAGAGCTAGTAAGAGATTGCAGTGTGTAATCTGAGAGAGATTGTGAGAAAAAAAACACAGAGTGTATGTGTAAGTGAGAGTGCTATAGTGAGTGAGTGAGGTGTGAGTGGTGTAAACTTCCTCCGGGAAATTCTATAGTGGATAGCTCTCTGTGGACGTAGGCAATTGCCAAACCACGTAAATATTCTTTTGTTATTGTGTGTGATTGATTTCTGGTGTCTCACAGTCCCAATAAGTGGTATCAGAGCCAAGTTGGTTGCGTTTCGAAAAAACAAAGTGCGTTTCTTCGAAACTGCCAGAAATCAAGTTACTCAAAATCAGATTTTGAGGATAGCAGGAGCAAGGTCTCAAAGAGAGGAGTCCAAAACTGCAAAGCAGAGCTCCAGAAGCCCTCCCACGTGCCCACATGCGTCTCTCAAAGAAGGCGCATGAATCCTAGTTTCACCACGCGCTTCCACGCGCCGTTAGTGCAGTTGGCACATCCTCCCACTCTGGACACGCACCTCACACATGTTTGAAGGAAGAAGACGAGCCACGTGTAGCTGCGTCATCGACACGTATAGCCTTGTCATCGCCACGTAGGGGCCACGTCATCCTCGTTGACCGTTGACCGAGCTGAGCTAAAGCCGTTCCTCGTTGACCAGCTATTGACCTAGCTGCTAAGCCGTTGACTGCGCCATTGACCGCGCCGAACCAGAGAAATCATCCGGTGCTTCTCAGCCTCACTAGATTCTGCAGATTAGAACCGCCCAAACTGTTTTGGCTCGATCTAAGTCATTTTGAGTCCGTTTTTGACGATCCAATAGTGCTTTCAAACTATTTGTAATATTCCAAACACATCTGTATGGTCAAATTTTGCAAATCCTATTTCAAAATTTTTTAGTTTGTATTTGGACAATTCGAAGTGCTTTTTCGGCTAATTTGACTAGTCCGGACTCAATAGCGAAGCCTGTTTTTCAGACAGAGACTATTTTCTATATAGACAGGTGTTGATAGAGGAATCAACGTTGACTTTAGGATCTATGTTCAAGTTGACTCCTTCTAATTATGCAATTTGGAAGTCACGGATGGAAGACACGGATGGAAGACACCCTGTATTATAAAAACCTGTTTGACCCTATTTTTGTAAAAGGGGTTAAACTAGAAGCAATGAAGGATGATGACTGGATAAAGATAAACTGCAAGACTATCGGTTGTATCAGACAATGGATAGACTACGGTGTGTACCATCATATCGCCGAGGAGACAGATGCCTATTCTCCATGGACAATGTTAGACGACATGTACCGGTCAAAGATCACTCGGAACAAAGCCTTGGTGATGAGAATGCTTGTCAATTTGAAATTGAAGAATGGTATGTCTGTCGTCGAACACACCAGTGAATTCAAAAATTTGGTGAATTAGCTTGTAACTGTCAAGATGTGCTTAGACGATGAAATGCAAGCCGTTCTACTGCTCAGTTCTTTACCAGATAGCTGGGAGATGTTGGTGGTTTCTCTTAGCAACTTTGCACCAGAAGAGAAACTGACCATAAGCATGGTCACAGACGCCATGTACAATGAAGAGACAAGGCGGAAAAACTTGGGTGGAGATCAATCCCATACCCTCGTCACAAAAAATAAAGCTAAAGGCAAAGACATAGGAAGAAGCAAAAACGGATGACGCATTAGAAGAAGATTTCAAGACAGAGGGAAATCCAAAGAAGGTATGAGTCGGCCAAAGTTCAAGTGTTACCATTGTGGCCAAGAGGGTCACATAAAGAAATAGTGCTATGCCTTAAAGGGAGAACAAAAACAAGGCAATAGACAACCAAAGATTGAAGATGAGAACACTGTAGTTACTGTCTCAGAGGATATTGCATTATTCTCTGTTGAAGAAGAAGAATGTCTTCATATGTCAGACAACGACACCGAGTGGGTGGTAGATACAACAGCTTCCTACCACGACACACCCCGGAAGGAGTTCTTCGGTACATACCAAGATGGAGATTTTGGTACAGTGAAGATGGGCAACTCCAGTTTTTCAAAGATTGTGGGAATCGGTAATGTTCACATCCAAACCAAAGTTGGGTGCACGATGGTGTTGAAAGATGTC